AGTTTTTTTTTTCCTTTATACCTGTTAGGCTTGGCCAGCGTAGATTTTGGAGAGGATCGGTTATTTTTGATTGAATGCTTACAGTCAAGAGGGTAATATAGGATCGTTACTGGGGTTCCCAGCCTTGCGATGAACAACTCCGCTCGTGACATCTGCCAGTGAATGACTGATTTTGTTTAATAGTAGCCGGCTTTACATAGTCTTTAAGTCGATGAATCGCTTACGAAAATGGTAGTGAAAATTTACATGTTGGCAAGGTAGTTTAAGCTCAAATGGCCTTTAAAAGAACCAATGAGATTGATGGTTAAGTAGGAAACGTATATGCTTATAATGGGCCTAAAAAGGGCCAGTGGTGAAACTTCCAGCCATTTCTTATTATTATTCTTGATGATAAAAAGCTGTCTGTGGGTAGCTTGACTTTTACCCTCGGAGTCTTTGTGTACAGAGACCGTGCATTAGGAGGATACGCCGCTGACCAAAGAATATTTCGTCTTCAGGTTGTTCCCCGGATAACCAACGGGACATAGTTAGTCGAGAAAGTGGGCCTGGAGAATAATACCTTCTCTGTAGGTATGCCGTTGGAACGACCACTAACACATTGGCAGTTATGGTTGCCCGTACTCGTTAGGGCTATCTTACCTGGCGTACATTTGTAGTAAAAAAATTCTCTGACGGCACCAGGCCAGATTGTGGTACGGCCACACAAATTTGAAGTGTTATACTAGCAGGTTGTGCTCTGGCTAGACACGTCTCATCGTATTCTGCCAGAGACGTTATTGGTTAATATTAATTTTTTAATGGTGACACACGTCAATCCTGGAGGTTCAGGGTGAAAATTAACCTAAATCACTTACCCACTGGAGAAGAGTGTCATCGATATCTGAGATACCCAGATGCACGTCGATCATCTAGTTTCCCGATGCAGCTCGATAAACTGCTAATAGACGACTGCGAGAACTATCGAGACGCTCGCGCTTGTTATAACCACACTTATTTGATTATGTTGCAGGTAGTTGCGATTTCATGTCGACACCACCTAGCAGATCCTACTGAAGTAAAGTGAAAAGCTGGCGTATTTTTACAAAAGTTTGAGCTTCTTTATTGCTATTAATATTGAATTTTTCAACATAAAAACCCTACTTAAACCATCTTAATTGTGTCAAGAATCAGTATGCAAAATTTCAGCAAAACCGGTTTAGTAGTTTTTGTGGTTAGCAATTACAACAGTTTTAGCGACTTTGCTTTATATTTTAGTAAGATAAGACTTGTTAGAAATTTCATCTTTAAGTTGATGAGTGAGTTCTTACAATTTTTAAAAACTTAAATTTTGAACCCATTAATTCGATTAAATTTCCAAACCTGTAATATAAATATCATATTTATAATTGTTACATTCATAACTATTGCAAGCCGTGCACTTGATTGTTGACTTTGCTTTAGGTCTTACTGTAATTATAGACTTTTTATTACCAATGTTACTTCTTTCATTTGTTTTTCTACCCTTTGAATACTGATTTACAATACAAATTAACGGTAAATTACCAAGGTACGAATAAACTAAGTTCCGCTTTTTAAAATGATGAAACCTGTACCTCTCATGTTTCATCAATATATTGAAACTATTTTCGGTTACTTATACAGCTCCATGACATATTAAAATAAGGATTAGGTACTCTTAATAAGGCAAACAAACATCGCAGTTTCAGTGAGGCTACAGTATTTTTTAAAACAGCTTCGATGAAACCCCAAAGCTGGATTATCTACAAACATTAAAGTTAGTTCTACAATGTTACAAAAAAGAGTTGGATTAATAGCAAAATGTATTAAAACTAACGTAATTTTGTAATGCGTAAGTAAAAACAACCAGAATCTAAGTTTTTTGAAATTCAGATTAGCTAAAAGCTGTTGAACACAGGCATTAGTTCATTAAATTTATTATTTATCAAAACGTTACGTTAAGCAAAACCGTGAAAATATACTACTAAAGCTAACAATAAAATAAGCATTGACACAAGGTAGCTACACATCACAAGTCTCATAATATTAATGAACTTGAATGAGTAAGTATTTTCTGATATTCCTAATATTTATGATATAAGAACTGGTTTTTTAAAATTTTAATAAAATTGACAACTCTTGCATTAGGAACATGAAAGTTGAGAACTGTCAGTAATTATAAAAATTTGTCACACATTATAACTCAATCTTAAAATGATAACAATTTTAAATATTCCGTAACGTACGATAGTACAGGTGAGACTCTACGCTCCTTCTCCTCAAACCTCATAACGAGGGGTCCTCGGGCCAAGGAAAGGGAAGTGCAAGCAAGGAAAAAGTCTATTCGGGCTGTAAATGACGAGCCTTTGAAGACAACGCGCTTCCTTGCCTATGATTTCGGTATCTTGAATAAAGCTCTTGAAGGAATCTGTACTGATCATTCTCGCGAAGCACCTTCTTACCAATACGTATTTTTTCTATGTAACTATGCAATTTAACACTGTAAGTTTTTTGCTCAAAGAATGAAGACTTACATCACTTATACTTATACTTACATACTTACATTACTTATACTTATATCACTGAAATTTTTAATCTCTAGAATGCACCTTAACTGTCTAATAATCAAAATCTTTGAATAATGTATTATTCAATACTTAAAAGGTACTTTAGTAGCGAAAGTATTTCGTGTACCAAGAACTTAAAGATGAAACGTTGTATTACTTTTTCCTACAGTGCTTTCAGCTGTTAGTTTATAAATTCCATCATTGTCGCTTAAAATATTTTCTATGTGTAAGCTACTTGTCATTTTGCTGTGAATTCTGGATATTATGTTTTCTAGATGTATTGAAAAATTGAAATTGCCACCATAATTATCCACCCTGAAAAATAATGCATTTTTAAATAAGACTCATATTTAATGAGTAGAATTGTATATCCATTTTGAAACATGTTCGATTGCTTGTGCATGTAGTGTTCAGAGACTCTCCTTCGTTTATCTGCAACTCGGTCACATTAGGATATAGCTGAGGCTTGTATCCATGACAACCTATAAACTTAAAAATTAGTCCAAATACAGATGATTTTCTTTTTTCTTTATAAGAAATACTATTGCATAAAGTGTGAAAATAATGATAGCGGATAGTCCTATAATGAGAAAAAAAAATTTTTAATTATTTTTAGACTTAACTACCCAAAATGAGACGAATAATTAGCTCTACCGTAAACTAAGTTCTTCAAGAAACCGCTCACGGTGTAACCATTTCCTAATTTCTCATAAAAATCCCAACTCTCAATAAATGTGGCTCATTAGATTAAAAAAAAGTTTAAACTATCAATCCTATAATCATATTATTTAGTATCAATAAATGTGAGTTAAAAAAAAATATACATATATTATGAGCATGGAAGAGGTAAGAAATTTTGCTTTTGGTTTTTATTAATAGCGGGTTCATCACTTAAGTTCTAAAAGAAGGTTGGTAACTATAGAAAAATAAAATTTTTTTTGCATTTGTCTTATTAAACTCAGTTAACACTACAAAAATTAATAAGATGCTGTAACCTTATTTATGTTGACAGTTTTTTAATGAGTACTAAAATAATTTGGCAGCCGTGGAGCCATTCAATTCTGGTTCATTTAAAATTTGACAAAGTTTTGTTTGCTACGTAAAGTAGCTCTTTGTTTGTAATGTGAAAATAAGAGTGATAGTTATATATTGAGATGTGGAAAAGATAATCTTATACGTACTTGACACTATGATAAAAAAAGTGAGTAGTTTTGCCCACCGTCGGCGAGTCAGTGGGTCCTTCCGTCCTTGAAAGCTCGCCATTGCCGACGGTAGGATGTGTCTAAGTCGTAGATCGAATATTTTAGGCTTGGAAATTCAGAGTCAGACTTTGGCCTAAGCCATGAAAAATCACAATAAATGTAAGGAATCTCTAGAAATTACTTGACATGTAGTTGTATTGTTTATTTGTGTAAAGCCTATTAATGCACTTTATGGCAGTGATCAATCATATAATCGGAGAACCGTACACATAGTATGTAGGGACACTAAACAATAAATATTGCTTGTCACCCACTACTCATATTTGTATGATTGTGATTTGCTAAAAAAAAATTAAAATAGTTTACACGGCAATGTAGAAGGAGAACTTACTGTCCGCTGTTTGTTTTCCGTCCTTGTCATAATTCTACTTTTTTTCGTTGTTTCTACCAGCGCCGTCTTGTTACGAAGCTGTTACTATCATATAATTTCGATAACTTAAAACCTTAGCGACTGTGAATTTAATGGATTGATTAAAAATTGTCATTTGACGACTTAAAAAATTATTTTAAATGTTTATTTAGAGCTTTTGCAACATATACCAAATATATGACGTAATTATGAACTTTTGTTAATTTTACACGCAATAATAAATTGTGGTGTCTTTTTAAACGTTGCTAAAATTTGTCGTGTATTTAGATAATAAAGAAAAAAAAAATTAAATTGAAATATAATTAAGTACTATTAAACACGAATTGTCTATAAAAGTAATACTACGCCTGGGAGTTTTATTTTGAGACGCCTAAATTCAAAATATTGTTAATTAATTGAGAGCAAAACTATTTCTTATCAGCACAAACGCATGTTTGAAATCATCGTATGCAATATTTTTTGTACTACCCTGTCCTACAGTGAATTATACCCACATACATTTATTAAACTTTTTATTCGTTACGAATTCCTCATCTGATCACATGTTCCAGATATAGCAGTGTTCAGTTTACGTACATAGTCAGCACACTTTTATAGTTAAGTTTTGCTAAACAAAGTGTCTTTAATAATCAAAAATTAAATAGTTTTAAAATTAACCATGATTGCACCGTATTACATTTGTTTTATTAAAGTATATGATTTCTTCTGGATTTACGTACTTGCTCTTGGAATTCTTATCGGAAAATAATAATACATTTGCATTAAGAGCTACAGTAATGGTTTGATAAAGGGCAGACTTGCAATTTAAGGCAACGTATTAACATATTTACGCCGGTTAAGCGGAATCGTCATATCTTCAGACAATGATGCTGTTGCTTGATTGTCATCTTTTTTTTCCAACTGGCATTCTTTATCAAAATTTTCGTATTCATGATAAATTCTTAGAAAATGGGTTTTGATATTATTTTGTAAAAGTTTTCCAATGCTTTCAACCAGCATTGTAAAAGACGGTCTCGATGTTGGCTCTTCCTCCCAGCAATGGAGCATAATATTGTATCTAAAAAAAAAAAGTAAACGAATGAAGTACTTAACGGCTTTTCGAATACGACCTTATTGTAAAAAATCTCATTTACATGTCATCGGTAGCATAAGCAGGCTTAGACATTCTGTATCCCCTAATTAATTTCTGATACATCACCTCAAACCCTACGCCTGAATAAGGTATTTGTGCAAGAGAGAAAAATTCCCAGAGTACTACACCAAATGACCACACATCTGACATAGTGGAAAAGACTCCGTCTCTGATGGACTCAATGGCCATCCACCTTATGGGTAACTTCCCATCGCATTGCTTCTTATAGTTTTCGTCTTTGTACAATGTCTTGGCTAAACCGAAATCGCAGATCTTGACGATGTTGTTCTCTGCTAACAGTATATTTCTTGCAGCCAAGTCACAGTGCAGCACCTG